TATATATATATATATATATATATATAATGTTCTATAACAATTTGCTGTACGTTGTGAAGAACTTGTGTGTAGGAATCATGGCATTAAAAGACAACAGAGGGAGTTGAGGTGTGGATTTTTCTAAGTTGTAGTCAAAGACAAACCTTCAAAGGTAGGGAAATCCTTGAGAGCAGGACACCTTTTGGAGATCTGGGTTTCAGTACCTCTTAGCTACAGATACAACATTGGAACAGTTCAGGTGGGGGGTGGAGTGTCTTTTTTTAACAAATTTAGCATATAGTAGTAGTTAAATTCATATAAGCTGTAGCTAGCTAAAGAGTTGTAGCACTGTAAGCTAAGGTTATACTTCTGAACTCCTTTTTAGTGTGCCTTGAAAGAAGTAAGGGTTTTCTGACTTGGCTTAATATGTGATCCAATAACTTGGATTTTGTTGTCTTCATTCCCTTCCCTACCCTTCTGCTCACTAAAAACAAATGCATGACTACAGGTCAACTTCAAACGTTGTTCTTCTGCTTTAGGTGACCGATGCAGTGAGTGAGTCGGAAGCAGCTCAGTGCAGTTGTAGGTAAGTCATCAACAACAGAAATGTAACCATATCCTACACAGCAGCATTTAACCAGTATATTTTTTTAGAACTCCAATATAAACTACCAGAGCCTATTAAGAGCAGTAGTGCATTTACCTAGCAATGCTGCATTTGCTGGAGATCAGCAATAACTGATGTGCTGTAAAGTGGAAGAAACTCAGATACGCTCCTGTGGTAATCCCTAAGCAGCAAGTTGGGGGGAAAATTCCCTGGAGTTAATGGCTGGTGTACTTGCTTACACAAGAGTATTTTTACATCTCTTCCTGTCTCTGATATAACTGAGTACCTTTTCTGTCTGCTTAAAAAAATACAGCAACCAAACCTTATGGGTTGGTTTTGTTAGTTGCTTAAGGGGAAAAAAAAAAAAATTATCTTTTGATACCAAGATATTAACAGGATTCAAACATACATATTTGTTCAATCCTAACTAGATAAGCAATGTGCTTCATAAATGTGTTCTTGTGAGTACTTGCATCCTCCAGATTCGGAAACTGACACAGACCAAGGATAAGGTTCGATCTTACTTTTTTTTCCCCCCACTGGTTATCTTGTAATTCTTTTACTGGAGAGATTGCACTTTTCCCAGGGGGAAAAAAAAAAGTTTTAAACTTTGGGTTGAAAACAACACATATGCAGCATTATATCTACCCAACGTTTCTAAATAAACCTTTGAGTGGAATCCAGGGCCAACAGTTACACTTCAAATACTTGAAGTTCAACTGCTTCCCTTGTGCTGTTTTCCCGTCACAAGAGGGGACCTGACAAGACAGAGGCAGGTATTCACCGTGGCTGTAGTTGGAAGAATGGCTGAATTACTCTGTGTAGAAGCACTGCTTCTCCAGCTGTTACCTTGCTACAGAGAGAACCTAGCATATAGCTTTGTGCAAAGACCCTGTAATCTCTGTCTTTGAAGACCTATAGTTAAATAGAGCAAACAACAATAAATATACGAACAGTAGATCATTTCTTCCAGTGTAATTTTTGTTACAACAGAAGTGAAGATATTTCATATTAAATTCATACATGCAGAGATCTGTGATGCTTTCTTTGCAGTGTAGTGGGTAACAGAGTCTGTCCAGCACTTGGAATAACCTGGGCGAACCAACTGCTAATGAGACTGATGGTCAGCCGAGTACCACAACCTGCACCATCATCTGGAGTTGTGTCACACCCCACTGGAAGTGTGAGGACTTTAAGAGTAGTTTTTGCTCCTCATCTCCCTTCATCCTCTTGCTGCTATACAGTAAAATTGGAAGGTGTGAAAGGCATAAAATAAATCCTTTGCACAGGAAAGCATCCTGCTCCAAAAATGTATCAAAACTTTTGCTTCAGGAGGAATTACTAGTAAAATGAAATTCTCCCTAGATGAGAGAAGTGGATGCTGAAATATATAAGCGGTGATATGACTGTATCAAGCCAGTGATATTGTGCAAGAAGACCTTTTTATACCTGGACATATGTTCATCAGCTTTTCCTCTTGAGATAAGAATTCCAAAGGAGAGTAAAGCTGTGGGCAGGGGGAGGCTGCACAATGGAGTGTGATGTGTCCGATTGTTTGAATAGCACACTCATCTAGGAACAGTGTGTACTGCAGCTGTGTACCTTCTCTTGTTTCCAGACCCAAAGGGACTCAAATTCAACAAGTCACTATTGCCTGCTGGTGTTCCTGGGCCTCATGCTGTGCTGCTTCTACCTGGAGGCCTTCAGAAGTAACAGAAAGCAACTTTGTCCCAGAGCAGCCATCCTATGTTAAAACCACTTGTTATTAATATTAGGATTTTTTAAAAATACCAGAAAGATATTCAAGTTTAGCATCTTAATGTAAGAATTAAAACTGTACCACTTTTGTACTGTATGGGTATATCTACCTTCATAGAACTTCTACAGATTTTTTGGAAATGGTTCTTTTCCTGCTTTCCAGTTCCCTCAGAAAAAGCCTCTGTACTCTCTTCCATTTGAAAAGTAGCGATTCACCTGCCATCCCCTTGCTCTGCTGCCCCTGGTGAAGCTGTGTAGCCAGGTGGTTTTCCTGCTCTGCACATCTCTGTTTTGTTTGCTCTGGATAGATTCTTCATCAGCTTCTGGATCCCTGCCTGTAGTATCTTCTCTCCTTACCACTGGGGTCTTTGTGCTTCTGAAGGACACTTTTAGCTGTTTTCAGGCATCCATGGAGCTGCCCATCATGTTACTCTGCTCAGGGTCTTTTTTGTTCTTAGAGCTTTACATGTTTTTTTCTCCATCTTTAACACATCTTTTCCTGTTGACCTCAGACTGCTGCTATGACTTGTGCTTTTTCTAGTCATTGCTGAATTCACGTGGGTGAAGGCTGGATGAAGTTACTTGTGCACATTTTCCAAAGGCCTTACCCCTTCTTTGGCCTGTGGTATGTGGGTGGCTGCTCATAGCTGTGTATGATGCACAGACTTGTTAAGATTTCAGATTGCCCCCTCCTCCCTGCTTCCCCACCAGGTTGCCCAGACAAGAAGACTACCCTGTCCCAGGTTTTTCTGTGTGGTTACATTGCTCCAGTTCTGTCTTTCGGCAGATGAGAACCTTTTGCTCTCCATAGGCTAAAACAATAAACTCATCCACAAATACAAGTTCAGAGGAATGATTCTCAAGTGCCTTGGTCAAAGGCAAGTCCAGGTGGATTCCTGTGTGTTCTTGAGGAGCACTGTGTTAGTGACATCGCTGCCACCTCTGCCTTTCCCCCTGTAACCCTCTGTGAGGACAGAGCAGCCATCCAGTCGTGCAGAAGCATGCAGCCGAAAGGAAAAGTTTTGTCTGGTGTACAGGGGCTCAGCTGGCAGCTTCTCTGGGGACAACCCAGTATGACACAAGGAAGAGACCCAGAAAGACAGTGACTGTGTGACTGCCTGAGGGAAGTTCTGGAGCAGAACAGGCACAGTCACACCTGTGAAGCTGAGCGACGGGATCTCGAAGCAAACAGAAAAAAGGATGAGTGGCTTTCAGTGCCTCTGAGCCCCCTGCAGTTGTCAAAGGGGACCTTGTGCGAATAGCATAACAAAATGTCTTTAAATCTCTTTTCTAAAATGTCTTAATTCCCTGTATTTGAAAATGACCAGGTTGGTTTTCTGTAATAAAATCCAACCATGATGCTTAGAAGTCTTTATGTACTCAATCTAAAGAAAAAGTGAGAGGGCTATAGCTCAGAGATGTGGCTACCTCAGTCTTCACATCCTTATGTTCCATACCCCCTTCACACAGTTTTAATGAAGATAAACTCATGCAGCATATGTAACACTCAAATTATTCTCTTCCATTCCCTTTTCTTCCATTCCTGTTTATCTGGGACAGGGACTTTAGCCAATATATTGCTCATCCTATTGTACTAATTTGATTTTAAAAAAAGCCACAGATGGCTGTAACTTTATAATGGGAGTTAGTCAACCCCTACCCAGCATTCATTTACAAAAGAGCCTCGTCAAAGCCCAGGCTCCAAGCCCAGGAGCTTGCCTCACTGTGAACCATTTCAGAACAGTCTGATACATGTCTTAAGGCTCAGTTTGCTAATGTTGCGATTGCTCTTCTCACAATGTCACTGCTCACAGGAATGAGACAGAAGTGATGAAGTCACAGATGGGTCTGTTTACTTGAAGAAAAACAACAAATGAAAGTAACACCTTACCTGAGCAAGTCCTCCTGTCCTTGCCCAGGTTATTTAATCCCCCAGCTGGAGGCTTAAATCTGAGTCAGAGCATGTTAGAGTAGGTTTGGTAGCTCATCATCACACACAAACCCTGAACCGCTAAAATGCCACCAGCCCATCCCTCAGCAGCTGAATGTTCAGCAGCAGTTTCTATCCCTTTCTTTAGTGACTCACACACAGAGTCAGAAATCCAGGATGTTCATCTGGCAGCAGCAGAGCTCTGGGGGTGCAAACTCTCAAGACTGAACTCAAGACTCTCTGAAGCCTAGGGGCAAGAGTGTTAAAAGATGCTTAACTTTTAATAAATGCCATTTAAGAACCTTCCCTTTATACAGCTTTATTAATCTTTGGATTTTACAATTGAGAGTTGTTTCTATACAGGAAAATGCTGAAGTAATTTTTTACAAAGATTTACATTCTAGAATGCATTAAGTATATAATCTTTATCCTGTAAAACTACATTTAAATCTTTTTCTACACTTTGAAAAGAAATGTTAAATGACATTTGAGATGCTTTTGAACAGTTTCCAATTAATCTACAGATCTGTGATGTATTTAAAGATGCCTTTTTCAGCAGAAATATCATACAGGGTTCTGGAAATGCAGAACCAAATTAATTTGTGCTTGGTGAAGATAAAAGAATTTACACAATTGACCTATTAAGAAAACAGAGGTAATAAAGAACACTAATGCTTATTACAAGTTACTTGATGAAATCACAAAGGGAGGCAAGACAAGCAGGCCAAGTCTGAATAGGATTTCATCCATAGCTGTAACTACACACAGAAATCAAAATGCAGCATCTTAAAGCCAATTGTGGAAGGTTTATTTTTTTAAAAATCAAACTTGAAATCCACATATCGGGGTGGGGGGAATGTTTCTCCTCAAGGAGGATACACTGACATTACAAATGGTTTTCTGGTTTTGCTGTTGTTGGGTTCTGGTTGTTTTCTAAACCAGGTCCTAGAAAAAAAATACCCTTCCTGACCGCACAGAACTCATCTGGCTTAATTATACTGTAACCTACCACCACTGCTGTATCATGCTTCTACTACATAATTTAAAACTAAAGACTGACTGACTTTCCCTGCTTGAATTCGGAATTGAGTATAAATATAGGGAGCCTAAGGATAGATCTGGTTTTAAAAACTACTTCACTGTGCTTGTTCCATGCTGTATACAGTTTTTAGGCTCTCTTGCTTGTATGTGCCAGCACAAATGACAGAGCAGCTTTGAGCTTTCTGATGTAGCCGGAGCATTAAATGAGCTTCCAACTAGATTCTGTAAATATTTCTTATTTTAAAGCAGCTATAACTGTGCAGCTTCACTATGAACATAAGCATCTTCTCAGCAGCTTGCATCCTTTGACCTCTATCAGATGGCGGCACTGTGTTTTGCTTCTTGCTTTGTTGTTTCAGGCTTTTTTTCAAAGAAACTATGGATCTTGACTATTCCCTGTACTGAGACTATTATGAATGGTTTGAGGAGGAAAATAAAAAAAGTTCGAGATTTCCCTCAATACTCTAAACTAACTGTTTAAAAAGCCAATGTTATACCAATACTTCTGTAAGTCTGTGACAATGTAAGTTGCTACAATGAAACGGTAAACTTCAGTGTGACATCTTTTAACATTTATTCTCTCAGTACAGGCTAACATTACCAGAAATGCAGTTCTCTTAGCAGCTTTCAGACAAAATACATGACCTGCATAACAAAAACTAAAATAACTTGAACTCATCAAGTATTGTAAACACTTCCAATGAAGCACTGCACACCCCTTTTACTATATATTTACAACAGAACCACACCATTTTCAAAATTACTGGATTCAAATGGTACAATTTAAACACAAATCCTTCTCAAGCTTAAAACCATTTTAATTTACCACCATTCAGGAGGGCTTGGGGAGATGGGGAGGGTGTTGATTGTTTTAAGAAAAGGTACAAACTGTAGATAATGCGTCCAATTGTTTTTCTGCTAAGTGCTTTGTTCTATCACTGCAGTACTGCAAGCACAAACATCACAGCAGCAGTTCAGTTATTCCTCTAAAATTAGAGGAGCAAATCATGAAAGAGTTACATTTTACAATAATATTTAGTAAGATCTAAACTCAAGACCAAATATTGCCAATATTCCTAAAGACTTGGTACACTACCAGACAAGGGCAACAGGCACCTTTCCATTAGTTACAATTCTCTGTATGATTCATCCTACGTGTGACTGTTGCTGACTGTACCCCAGAACCAGCCACTGTTTGGAGGAGACTCTCAAGGAACTGGCCTAACCTGGAGTCCTTGTTACGTTTTTTATGAAGTTCACCCTTACAGTTCCGGGCAGGGAAAAGATGCTAGATTAAAAACACAACAGCACTACCAAGGTTGCAGTTTTCCTACAGATGTCTGACAATTTTGAAGGTCTTTTCTCGTTTTCAGTTTCCTCAGAGCTGTTGATTTAGTTTGACCTCCCAGAATTACACAATTGCATATTCTGGTTTTATACTTTATGCAGACTGTTAGCTACAACTGGAACAGAAAAAATTCAGAAAGACTTACATAAAAGCAAACTAAGCAGCCCACCTGAAATCTAAATGTATACAAACCATGTCCTGACAGTACTTAATTCACGATTCAAACACAAGGAAAGTTGGCCTTAACTTTGTTTTTGCACTTCACCAGTTCTCAAACTGCAAACAGCTAATTGACTCATAACTGTAAGGATGTGGCTATCATTCTTGGGGATTTATGGAACTTGTTTCTTCTCTGAAAAAAAAAAATAACAATTTAAATATAAGAATTGTTTAATAAGGAGTAGCTCAACAACTTAATCTTCCAGCACACTTAAACACTATATAAAGGTTTAAAACATTTAAAAGCACAGTACTAGTAATGCCACCAACAGTAAGATCCTGAACAGGAAAGTTCCCTCACTATCACCATACCATGGTCTTGCATTTTAAAAATTTAATGTACATCATAATCTGGCATGATTAAATATTTTATTGCTATTTACACAAGGGGTTTTTTTGAGAGGCTGTAAAAATAATTTTCCTTCAAAGTTGAAAGATGAATGTAAAACCCACATTTTTCAGGTTTTTTTTTTTTTTTAAGTAATTCCTTACCACGCAAATCAGCTCTGTGTCTAGAGAGTTTTGTGGGGTTTTTGGAAGCTCTGAGTGCAGCACTGAGCTCTACAGCATCGGGCCCTACAAGCCCCGCCGAGAGCATCGCGCGGGCTGGGCAGGGGCTGACTGCAAGGGCAGTTTGCAGCGGGAGCTTCTGATGGCAACGGCCGGAGGGAGGCGACACCGTCGCCGGCTGCTGGGCGAAGGGAGGGCTGCGGCAGGGTCCTGCCCGCCCACCGCTTGGGCACGGGTACCCAGCCTGGAGCCCGGTGTACAGTTCCTCCTGCAAAGCCAGCTCAGTCTGGCCTCGTGCAGAAAACCAAATCCATCACGTTTCGCTTTAGGGAGGGGGGAAAAAGTATATATATTATGTATTTTTTAAAATTAAAAGCTCTTAATAAAAAGATTAAAACTCAAAAGTCTACATTATATGAGTATATATTGTTAAGATAACTGAGCAGCAACCTGCTCTCACTCGAGTTCATTAATGAATTGCACTACTCTGTGCTAAAACTTCTACATATTAGCAGCATCATATCTCATGGTTTCTAAACTGTCTTTATAGCAGGTATACCATACACAGCTTTCTTTAAAGAGATGCTAATAAGGTACCTCCTGGTAAACACAGTCAAGTGCATTACATATACAACTTCTTGCATCACGTAACACAGTATAAAACCAGATGTAAAGCCAGTCAAAATACTTCTATGAAGTACTAAATCTAATGACTTTTCACAGCCGGTTCAAATACTAAAACTTGCTTATATCCCTCTGGGTTTACCTCCTTCAGTTGGTGCCAACCTTGAATGAATATTCCAGCTTTTCCCAAAATTAGTTTCATTCAGCATTTTTTAACTCACAACTATGACCACAAATACATTTGTACACACGCTGGTTATTTTTTTTTTACTTTCTCATCCAACTTCACATGAATAAGGATTTTTACAAAAGATGAACAAAATTACAAGCTTTACAGGAAAGCAAAAGGAAATACTAGTGTTTATAAAATACTTAAAACCATACATATTTAGTTCCAGCAGCAGTCCTATATACAGACAGCATATATATTAACCATAAGTAGATTTAACATGGACATGTGGTCAAACAAGTTGCTTGCCACTTATGGCCATCTAGTGCCTCCACCAGGGCCCTTAGGATTTGAGTGGTCCTTTGCACAGCAGTTACTCCACAGTGTAACAGCTCGGCGTGCAGTTCCCTGCTTCTGCTGTCATCAGCCATTACGGAGAAATGCAGGATTTGGGATCAGCATACGGAAATGCTAGAGCACTCTCAGCATACAGAGAATGGGATTGTGAATTCCAGTGGACAAGCAAGAAAGTCAACCTGAGGCTTGATGTTTCCCTAAGAGCAACAGCAGCTGCTCTGGGACAGCTGCAGTCCAAAACTTCTGTATTCTTCAACCACACAAGGTAAAGGTCAAAACATTTTCCGTTTCTTCTGATCAACATGAACTGTCCTGTCTCCATCGACTATTGTGCCCTAAGACTTATATCAACAAGTAGCAAAGTTATGGTCACAGGTATTGCTATTCATGCTAGCTGTATGTTGTGTAACCCCAACCCTCTCTTCTGTAAAATTTAACTAGTGGTTAAGTAAGCCGTGTCTAAGTGCTGTTTTGCCAGCTAAGGTTTCTAACATGACAATAATCAGTGCTGCAAAGGAAAGCCCCACCAATACAGTATGCTCAATTTGACTTTATACAGTAATGTGCATAAATTCATCCTTTTCTCATTCCAGCACTGTATATATTTACTGCTACACATTTCATTTTGCCTGCATTTTCAAACAACTTTGCATTTTGGTATGCTTTAAATATGTTTGCATTTTTACATTTTTTTGGCTGCTGTAATACTCAGATCTATTAAAGAAATCAACATAAGTAGCATGAATGGGAGCAGTGCAATGAGCAACATACATCTATATTGTTTTCCTTTAGAAGAAAATACCCACTAATGCAGTGATTAAACTTGTCCCTATTTAGAAAAGTAGAAACAGCAGTCCTTTAAAAAAACAAACAAACAAAAAAACCCAACAAATGAGAATCTATAAACTAGGTGTTCCTATACATAATGATGAGGAACCAAAGCTTTGAAGGTCTCAGTGCTTCTTTATTCACAAAGGAATATTAGCTAGCTTCTGTCCAAGAATCTCAATGCGCCAAATCAGTATGACTGACACTCAGAGCTCTCGAGTCTGTCAGACAATTATTTCGTTCCTGTGTGAAGGGGAAAAAAACAAATAAATTAAGCAGATGTCCAGATAGTTCAAGCAAATAAACAAAATTACTAGTGTTAAACAGGAACAAACAAGTATGAGGAACTACGGAGAACTGGCCTTGTTCGTGTTGGGTAGGGGGACTCTCTTCCCCATATTCTAATAAATACCTTTTTCCCACAACTTTCAACTAGCAACATGGATAAGATCTATTGATACGCACATACACCCTTTACAATCCTGACCAAGTCTACCAGAAATGCAAGAGCCCATCTATGGGAATTGCCAGGAATGTCTATAGGGTGAACTAAGAAAAGTTCACCAGAAGTGAGAACTAATTTTAATAGCACACACACCAACAATAATGTATTCTTCTGAAGTCATCTGTTATATACTACAGATATGGTTTAGGGGCACAACATTCTGAAAACTTGGCGCTATTGCTTTGAAGAATTATGCTTTACCCTGGATTTGGTTTTTGGCTGAACTTCACTCTAAGCAAAGTTTTGTACACACTTCACACCACAGAAAACTCTGCAGTACATTGATTAGAGGTAACAGTTAAGACACCTTTATGTCACTCAACAGTAAAATGAGAGCCATACAGTTTGGGGTTTCTTGCTACCGTAGGACAAATAGTGACAAAGATCCTCATGTGCAGTTTTGTTAGTACAGAAGCAATTTTATCTTCCTAAAATTAGTTGGAGTTACTGTGTTAGTAAAATGCACAACAGTGTTTAGAACGCAGAACATTGCCAGCTTATTTGACAATATAAGAAACAGTGACTTATTAGGTAAAAACAGGAAATGGGATGTGGCAGTCAGGCACACCATATACAGTTAAGCAAAATAAGGAAGTTTCATATTAGCAGAAGCGTAACATAGACCAGACAAACTTTCAGAGACTGCTCCTGTACAACCTCAGAAACAACTGAAGTTGCATTTAAGGGAATCTGAATATGTACAGCAATCAAGATTTTTTGACCCTTTGCAATAACGGGGCTGAAGTAAAAAATACTTAGTAACTGGGCTTTAAAAGTTCCTGCATTTTCAAGTAGCGTTTGCAAGAACGCAAGATTCCAGCAGTTTTGTATCCACTGTAACAGTTAGAAGATCCACAGCCAGAGACTGCTTGATATCATAAAAGCCAATGCTCTTCACTGGTCAGACTTTAAGCACTTGCTTAAAATTAAGCATAATTCACAAAAGTGTTACGGAACAATGCCTTAAGCATACGCCTTAAACGTCTTACAGAAGCAGGATCTTACCAATCCCTGGGTGTTTGTTGTTTTATTATTTATCACATTCTTTTTCTCAAACCCTACTGATGATATCTACTTTTGTAAGAGTATTGTAGGGCTTCTTACTTGAAAATGATCTTCAGTAGCCTTGCCACCCATGTTAAGAACATTCAGAGAACTGGCACGCTTCATGCTGCAACCAGGACAGTGAACATGCAAGGATAAACCAATCAGAATAGCTGAAAACTAACAGCTCTAAAAACACAAGTATAACAACGAGCAATGCACAGTTAAGGGAGTTTTAACAGTGCCCCGAAACTGATCTGAAGGATTCCCTTTAAGATAACTACATAACTTAGAATATGTTAATATTCAGTTCTAAATTACATATAAAACAAAAAAAAAATTACAAGCTCCTCAGAGCTTAAACATTTCAGGCAACTGATTTCATTTCAACTCAAAATCTCAGTTTTCAAAGCATATCAAATTAATACCCTGTCTTAGCATTGATTTTTAATTAATTCTCAGTTTCAACTTTATGCAGCTTCTTACAAAAGCATCAAAATATTCAGACAGTTTAGGGAAAAAAAACGTGAAACATGAGTAAGTTTGTCGCATAGGCAGCATTTAACTTGGCAAAGCTACAACAAACATTAGTTTAGTACTTTCTGCCTCATCTAGGCAAGTCTCCAGAATCTATTTCAAAAAGGATTTAAAAATCTTTTATTTTAAACATTTCAAAGTGAAGGGAGATAAGATGGTTGGTGCTATGAACTGTGGTTATGATTTTGGCTTTACAATGCTCTGAGCAGTGGTAACAACAACCCTAGATCACCTTACTGAAAGAAACAGATGAGGGAATTAATCAACACAGGAGCTACTGACAGTCAAAATATCACTGTATTAACAGTAATATCTACTGCTGTTTGAGATGAGGATTAATAGTTTATCTACATTTCTCAAACACATACAAAATTTAAGAAAAATGTTTTTAAGCGTGTGTAATGAAATTCAAGATTAGCCTTAAAATTCTTATCATCACGGTGACAACAGGAACGTCTGATGTCCTTTATCCCAAAGCGTCTGTACACTACACAGAATGTTCTGTCTTTGCTTTGATTTTTCACTAGATCTTTAACTACTTCCCAACTACTAAGTGAGGGCTTTGTATACATATTTGATGAACTGTTGTTCACAAGACAATGAGGCCCTCATCCTGCAGTGCTACCTACAGCTTTAGAGACAACTGGCCAGGCCAATTCAGTTTCCAATGCCTTCCAATAACATGGAGAGGTTTATCCGTACAGATCACACCAGATTATTAACCAGTTTTTCTATCTACTGAAGCAAGACTACTAACAGTCAAAGTCAAGGACGAGTTTTAAACGCTTTCGTGAAGCAAGGGTTTAGCAGAATAATGAACCAAAACACTAACACACACAGAGGCACCAGCTGCCACATAACATAGGCTTACTGGTTTTTCCTAGCATTAAATCTGAACATTTCAACGAAAGCTAGAACGCACACAATTTAAAGTATCTGACGTAAGTGTTAGCAACAACAAAGCAAGGAATCATGCATGGTATACACCTCTCATTTATTCAAGGAAACATACAACAGAGGTTATATATGAAAGTCAAAGTAAGTTAATCTGTAAAACACAAACAAAACATTACATAAAACTCTCCAAAAGAGCATAAAGGTTTATGGAAAACCTTCCAGGGAAACAGAAAATCCACCAATAAAAATTTACATGCATACTTCTAGGTTCCTGCTGAAGTGCCAATTAAAGAAAATTTTTTATCACACATGAGATACTAGTTTGTTTGTAGGTTGGTGGTTTGTTTGGTTTTGCTTGTTTGTTTGTTTTTTAAAAAACAACATACTTAAGAATTTAGTCTGGCAACTGTACTTTTAATTCCTTCCATATTAGCAACTTGAGTGCACAAATAACATGCAGTTGTTTTTCTGGTGCGTAAGTAATAGCAATAATGAAAGCCTTTTTTTAAGTTACAAATCTTAACTGTTCTGCTATAGGATCAAAATTTTAAAAGTGACAAAAATCAAACCTAACACTAATTAAGGAAAGTTAAATTATTACAAAACTGAATTCTGAAATATGATAAAGAAAGAAATTATACCATACTTCAGGTATTGTATCTTTCAATAAACAGTTCTTAAGAGATCTGTTTGTTGTCAAAAAGGCTTTTACATGATTTTACATAAACAATTTCCCTGATGAGTTTTCCAGTTTATTCTCTTCAACCTTCTGAATCAAGCAACCACATGAAAACTAAGTCTGTCTTTCACGCTGTGCTATCAGTGTACTTCTATTTGAGTATTTCTCACTCAGAATCACATCTGCACTGTCAATTACTATTTACAGAAGCACAGAGTAAGTAGCAGGTGTAAATCAATTTCAAAATAAAGTCTTCATAGAGACACAGGCAGGGAATGCAGAGGTGTACTGGTAAGGAGGGAGGCACGCCTGTCTTCCACCTAGAGTGGCTGACTTCACATCAAAAATGATTTATATGTGTGCTATGTCAGTACTGTAATATTCAGCTATCAAACACACTAAAAATTAAAGGTTTGCATAATCAAAACTGAATTTTCCTTTTATTAAACTCAGAAGTAGAAAAAAATAACTATTTACTAAAAGTTTCTTCAGAAAATAAAATCAAAATTACTTATTCTAATATCAGTATGTACAGCTATGCTTCAAAATCTACAAAGCTGGTGTTTAATACCAAAAATCTTTGCATTTGTTATTAAAACTAGCTAATATAAATTAGGATTAAAAAATGTCTCTCTCTTACAAGAACATAAATTGTATTATTTCTTGTCTGAATACACTCAACGTGTCTATCTACTACATAAAAGCCTGTCAATGCAATTGCAAATTTTAAGAATAAATTATTGAGAACTACAGTGACATCTGAAAAACAAGAATACTTCATCAAAAAGGGAAAGCAAGAAAAAAAATATTGCTATGTCTTCAAATTTGTTTCACATAAGATTTCCTCAAATAAATAAATTAATCTGGTGATACAGACCCCACAATATAATTGATGCTAATGTGGGTAGATTACTTCTGTGTTGGTCAGATAACACTACTGAAGTGCAGACAATAAAAAGGCAGAGGATTTCTTACAGGACACTGCAAAGCCAAATGTCTTCAGTTACATGCAAGCACAATTTCCTACACCTATAATTACAGAGTTACTTTACCCACAGAAAGTTAGCTCTATTTACTACAGAGAACAAGGAATAAAACTCTTGGATTTAAGAAACTGAAAACCTTTCCATGTCTCACAAAAATAAGGAGAAAAAACCCAAAATTAGCTATGAATATATGCATCTATTCATAGAAGAATATACCTGGACTATGATGTATGAACTCTAGACAGAACTGAATAGAAACAGAAAACCAATGCATAAAAATGCCATATAAAAATGTATAAACATATAAAAACTGAAGACAAAGTAGGATATTCCTTTTATTCTATTTTGGCTTGCATTTGCTTGTTTTTCCTAAAGCATTTTAAGTTTACATATTTCCTTCTTCTAATCCTATGCTTCTTCACAGTTTATTCCCAATCTATCATCTCAGAGGCAGTTCTTATTGATGTATCAATAAAGAAAAAGGGATTTTTGAACTTGCATTTGCATCGGTGCCTTCAACATCAAGTCTCTGGCAGCCAAGAGTGACTATTATAAAAATGAGATCAGGCTGAATTTGAATCAGATAACTGAGGAAGCGAATTCTACATGTACACAATGTTTTACAGCCTCATAAAAACACTAAAGCAAAGCTTCACTCCTGGAGCACTTCACAATACATTGAGACCCTGCCTCAAGATCACTGTCTCAGGCATTACCATCATCATCATCTACTATATTACTCCTAGATCCAGTTGCTCCATCAGAAGTCACTCCAAGTTCTCCGATTTAACTGTTTTAAAGCTTAGGTTCAAAATTCCAATGTCATACAGTTTCCTGTCAACAAAATGAGTTGCTGTTTTCCACATCAAGGGGGGAAAAAACCCTACAAAACTGACTGCAATTATGTCAGGGGCAAGAGGGAACACCCATGAGTGCTATTATGAAAAAGAGTAGTACATTTTAATGTGTACTTCTCTGCAGCAGCCAATAAATGATTAATGTGTTTATGCATTTATCAGAAATATTACATACACCCAAATCCATCATCACATGGTAAACAGGAAAGAGTAGTCAGATTCATTAAAATTTGAATTTTTACCACTGACTACACTGAAGCCAAAACATTAATGAGATGCACAATTAGTTTCAAGTTGATTTCAACATTTTCCTCTGCTCTCTGAAATCTGGGTTTTCCAAAAACAGAAACTAAGAAGGGCTCAAGACAGTAATTCTCTTTATACCCACAGTAATATATAAAGCTATACCAAAAACATACCACGACATTAAACAATATCAAGAATATTAGCTGTGGGTTTACTGTATTGAAGATTTTCTTGTAAAAATACGTAACATTTATTATTCTTCACTGCTGTGTGAAAAGGAGAATTTTGCAGACAACTAACATTTATCACTAATTCTATGAGGCCTTTCTATTTTTCAAGTGGATAAAGCAGTAAAAAGGAAAGAAACACTATTAGAATTAACTCTTAAAAGCAAATATAATTCCTCAGATGTTACAGAACTTTCATTATAAATTTAATAAATTATTTCCTATTGTATTTTTCTTTAAGATACAAATCTATATGATATGCAGTTAGCTAAGCAGAGAAGAATACACTGCCCTAGGTACTACACTGGGCTACATGGGGGCACAGAACGAGGGCACACCAGCACAGCTAAGAGCAGATAATTACCCTGGATTCTTTGGTTCACTGTCCCGTGAACTTCCTCCCTTCAGCTTTCTAACCAGCTTCTCACTGCTGCGTCTAATGGAAGCACGAAGTTTGCTAAAGGAACCACTGCGTTTTAAAGATCCAGTGCCATCCTGAAAAAAATTGAACAAATGTGAAGCTGCAAAAGTTTGTTGCCCTCCCCCTAAACCTGGCTCAAAAACATTTCATTGATGAATATATTTTTTTAATTGCTATTAATATATACTTGGTACAATTACTTAAACACATAATACCATATAGCTTCAACTTTACAAAAAGGCGCCTTCCAAATTATAACAAAGATTTCTAAAATATGAAGACATGCTCAAGCCGTCATTCGTAATAATTAATAAAAACCCATCACAGCAGTTAAACAATTCACCATCACCATGTCACTATTTCGTATGAGCGCACTGCGGTTAACAGAGTACAAGCCCCAAGCAAAAGCATTCCATCAGTCTAAGAAGAAAACGGTTTCATTCTTTCTAAGTATCTACATTACTTGCAAACATGTTTGATTAATCCTAGAATCCTTAAAGATATTTCTGATCAGAAACATGTATGGTTAAATTCCTGTGCTTCATTTTAACTTTCACCAAAGAAAATGTAAAACATGATAAAATTAATTTTTCATAGATTGCATTCATGTTTTACACAGCTGTGCTGATACAAAGAAGCTTCCAACGGACCACAATTCTATTTTTAAATGTTTTACTCTTAAGAACCCAACCGTTTAGTAAGATTAGAAGTGACCTTTTCCTACTTCATAGAAATCCTATGTGATTATGAAGAATTATAAAAGAATTGTAAATGAAAAAGTACTACTAAGCAGACAAAGACAGACACCTGAGTTGGAGTGAGTTTATTAGAAGTTAGAAAGACAAATACACAAATCACTGAACACCAAGATTAGTAGAGAAAAGCATAATTGCCAAAATCTCACACAAAGACTAAACAGCAATGCTACTTTAGAATAACCATAAGTGAAGACATCCAGAGTTCCATATTGATGTTAACCATGTAATAGTTCTCTAAATACATTTTAAAGCACTTGAAGTACATGCCTTACTTTTACGGGTTTTGTTTTGTTTTTTCTCCTGTAAAGATCACCATCATGCCATTTCAATAATACCTTGTGTGATACTTTTAACTACCTTTTTTTTCATAGTGAACAAGCTACTTATAAAGTTCATTGTTACTTGGTTGGTTTTTGTGGTTTTTACTAATGTATTACACAGCAAATGGTTGTAATAACATTTTGTATGACTAGATACATATCTGGCAAAAGCTACACATGTACAGAAATAGAAAACCAAAAAAAGACACCAGCACTGAAGGAATGGCCAGTTTACAGGGAAGTGTAGCTCTGACAAGAATCTTAAGGGGTTTGCTAAAACACAGCAGTCAGTACTGAAGAGAGAAGTTAAAGCTTGAAGATGGTGCACGCCCGTCATGCAGGAGACAGTATAAGAATCACAAAAGGCATCTAGGCCTGTCAGAAATGGAGAGAGAAAAACTGAATGAAACTGTTGGGAAAAATTCAACAGTTTTCAATTTTGAACAGTTATGTTAACAGTATTTCTAGGTCACGTTCAAAATAATTTTTTTCCAGAGTAAGTATTTGGACTGCCCTTAAGGACAAAATGCAGGCCCTTACAATTACCAGAACGTACATCTTCATACAGTTCCGCCTACGTCACTAATATGCGACTTACAAATGAGCATAAATGATGCTATGCATTCCTTAAGTTAGAATTTGTATAAAATACAAAACACCTTCAAGAAGGGATCACTTTAGTATTACATTTTGTAAACAAAGTAATTTTTTTTTCAGCTGACATTAACACAAAAATAAAGGGGAAAATAAAACAAAACAACAGAAGAGAGAGACACAGAGCAAGGTGCATTCATTTCAGCTTTAACTTCTGTCAGGAATTTTCCTTGAAACAAAACTTCGAGAAGAAAGAGGTCTTCCCCTAACCTCCAGACAAAATTCTGTTCATTCCTTTAAAGAACTAGAATTCAACTAACCTGTATCAATTCAGTTTCACAAGTGGTTTTTAGAACATATCTATGTGTGTATGTGTGTATATATATTATTGAAGCAAAAGCTTCTCTACTTTCCCGGATGCAATGAGGCAGCTGAAAGAATTTACCTTTAAAAATAAGCTGTGGTTCAATTTACACACTTTCCATTCTTCATATAAGTACAGAAACCATTACTGATAGTCTTAACGGAAATGTTTTGAGAGCGTTTACCTATAGCAACTGGAACAAACGGTAATTAAAGTCATTCTTGGAAGTGGCACAGTGCCTTGCTACCAAGCGATTAGAAAATCAAAATTTAACTGTCTTTCAAACTAAATTGCATATATTGTTCATACTTAAAAACAGACTTCAGCTTTGCAGGATTGAATAAACTGAAGTCTAAATTCCAATTAGAACTATTACATCAGTGAAAAGACTGTTCCTGTGGTCTTAAATCAGCAGTGCTATAGTAACGATAATGATACAAAGAACAAAGGCAAGACAAATTTGGTGGGTATAGAGTATAACTATTATTATGCTAGCTAGGACAGTAAGAATAAGCAAACAAGCTTTTTGGTACTGTAAATTTAAAATAAAAACATCAAACTCCCAAGTTACACAGTGACTCCATGATTAACAAAACACCTTTAAAAATAAGCTTAGGATTAAAAAAAAAATTCCTAAATCCAGCATAAACAAACAAAACCACAAGAGATATCCATTTCTATGGCAAAGTTTAATTGCCAATTTATATGTCACTTCAAATGAGAGTCACCTTATTACTTTTTCTTACAGGTCCCCACCATCTCCTCCTGTACTTCGTAGTTGTCTGCTACAATGCCCCTCTGACAGTCTGACCCTTACTAAACAAGAGCAATTCTTATCAGCTGGTCTATGGTAGTGAAACTTACTGCTTTAATTTCACACCTGAAAGCAGGCTTATGTGCCCAAAAGATTGTGGTTTTAAAGCACTGGGTTTGAATAAGAAAAGATACTTCCTCACACCATGAACAATTACCTTAAATTAAGCACTATCATGCCATGAAGATTTTTATCTGTCCTGCAACAGGTTGCAAGATCCATTTAGAAAAATGCCAATTACAGATACCCAGTGTCATTTCTACCTTGAATTTTTAAGATCAAACATTTTTTTCCATTTTCAAGTATCTTCTGTTAACTTTAAGGGATGGACTTTATTATAAGAAAGATGTAAACATGCACTACACAACCTCACTCAACATGTCCATTTTAGTAGTTAATGAGGGATTTACTTCAATAGATTTTTTCATTTCTTTTTGTAAGAGTGTAAGACATTACATCAAAGCATCTCATGCTTTATATAGATTACATATGGAAGTCAATTACAACAGATCTTCTAACAAAAATTTTTCGTTGAAGTTTATTGCTTTACACACTTGACCTGTTCTCTCTGACAGGCAAGAACATGAGTCACCTTGACCACTTCAAAAGAATTTAAATGGAAAATACAAGCCTCTCTTCAGGATCTGCATAAAGAAGTAAAAAATTCTACTATATTTTATGAATCAGAATATTTTGTCTGGAGGGAACACAGAAGGGTAAAAAACCTACACAATATAAATTAGAGGGAAGAACAGCACTGAGATAGAAACACTAGCAGAGTAGAGGGAGAGTTGCCCACTTTATGTAAAATATTTAATACAGAATACCTTCTCTTAAGAGGGGAAAAAAGAAATAACAAAGATGAGAATAAAGCAATGCCACTTCAGCACACTAAAAATTGTCTCTTTGCCCTGAGACATCAAAACTATTTTTCACAATCAACAAATTTTATCAGTGAGTTTGATTCAAATATTGACCTAGAAATACTGTCTATTGCTTTTCCACAGAAGGCCCTTTCAATCCAAAACCTGCATGCTTGTTTAATTAATGTCAATAACAGAAAAAAGTTTAATCCATTTAGAAAATAGACATGCAAAGTACAGTGAAAATTAAGGGAGGAGTACAGTACACAGTTCTAATGCTGAATGGGCAAATAAAAAAAAAAAAAAAAAAGAGTTATCCAACCTTACTTTGGCTTTATTAATGACACAGTATTATTCACAATAGATGCTGATTGACTGTCTTGGCACTGAGAACACCAATGCCAAGAAAACAATAAAAGAGAGACACAAAAGCAAAGATGGAAAGAACATTCTCCCTTAAGACTAAAGAAGCAGTATGTGTTTTATCAAGGTTTCTCTGGAATGATAAACTTTGCCTCATGTGGCTAACAAAAAAATATTGCTATTGTAAAAGAAATGAAACTTCAGAACACTCGATACTGCAAAGTAGGCTACTTCCCCTCCCATATAGCAAAAGCAGGCAACACTACTTTTATAATCTAACGGAAAATTTTCAGCAGAACTGCAGGTGGGAGTTAGTTAACAGTGCAATATATATCCCATTGCCAGCAATGGGATAAAGCATGGGAAAGTTGGTGACAGAAGCAAACAACTACATAAGGCAGATCAGTAACAGAGCTTGCACTGTCTTTCAAGTTAAAGGAAAACAATGGTTAGAAAAATGCATATGTAACCACATTACATATATGTTTTTACTTTCTGACAATTAATGTTATACAGTGAAGCCAATATATGGGAAACAAATAGGAACAAGCTCTGACTCCAGTCAAATTCTAACACAGGAAAGTGATATTAATATTTCACTTAAAAAATGGGAAGTTACTATCATAATGTTATGTGATGGCACTGCCTCTTAAAATGGATTGTATAGCAGTTTAAGAGTTAAATTCTTTCCTCTAAAAAGTTGAGTAAGGAGGAGATGGAAATTATTTTAGTGTTAGTCTGATCACTTTAATTTACTCAAACTGCTAACACTTATTACATCTCCACATCAAACATTCTTTGTGATTCCAACAGTTGCAGTATTTCTAAAGAAACATTAAAAATATGGGCAAATATGACATCAAAAGGACAAAAGCAAAAGTAAGTTAATTGCCAGAACATTTCTACCAGTAAAAAGAAACCACTGACAAGCAATTGTACACCAGACCATAACCAGGACACTCAATCAGCATTAAACAACTTAAATACAATTGCTTGGGATTCTTGAAGAAATTTCACCATTCAAGACAACAACAGAAAAAATATTTCAAAATATTACATTTTTTGTACATTACGATAAACAAAGTGTTATTCTTCATTTCTTAATTGATTCTGCAAAATTACAAAATCCAAAGTAGATCAACCAAGAAACTACTGAAAGCACGATAGGCTGGTAAATGGACAACCATATTTGTTATGGTGATAATTGATCTAGGCTACTTCCTTAAACTGTGTACTGTACTTACCCCATTCCATTCTACGCTCATACTCACTTCCTCGCCTCCATCAGGACCACTCTCGTACTTTACCACATCAACATTGAGGCTTTCTCGGCTTCGCCTTTTTTCTATGCTTTCAGGGTCATTCAGCACTTCAGCAACTCTCTGTTTATGAACATTGTCAAGACCCTGAGAATTAAAGTGAGTAAAGGTTTTTTTTAGTACAAGCTGTATTAATCTACAAACTTACACACAATAACCATAGCAAGAAAGAAGTCAAACCAACCCGTAGCACCATCACCCCTATTCTGCTTTCAAAGGGCAGTTAAAGATGAGCTGCTCTTTATACACTGCAGGAATCAATACAGCAGGAAGTGAACACAGCTTGGTAGTTTTAGAATTCAGTGACTTGCCATTCTTTTCCTCCTACCCTACCACTTGTCAAAGCCTCACGGTGTTCATGTCACTTACCTGAAGCCAGCTAGCTACCAGCTTAATATTTAAGCAATTTACAGATCATGAACAGACAATGCAATTCTCAATTTTCCACCTATCAAATGGTGCAGTATTAACCCACCTTTGGGAAGAATGTTGCAGGTGTCTGAAATATAATACGAGACTCAGGTTGTGTTATTTAAGAATATCAACACATGACACTTGGCACAGTAGTATCATTTACTCTTCAGAAAGAAATCAAATAGAAAATAAGCTTATAATAAAATAGACTATATATATGGTAAATATGTTTACTTTGTGTTAAAGAACACACATCAACTAGCAAATAATCCTTTAAGTATCTTAAAAGCGCTAAAATAGCTTCTATGAAAGACCTGCACTAAAAATAAAGGCAAAATCTTTAACTAGAAAGTAACAAAGCTCAAATTATTCTTATTTTCAATTTTGTTTTCTTTATAATAAAACTACTTCACATCATAAATGGTATTTGCTGTCAGGAAGAGATCCCAGATAAATGTCTTACACAAGAAAATATTTTTCATCTTTCACTGTGCAGCATTAGAAGCAAATGCAGCGGGGGATCTGTGCAACAAATCCATAAAGTTTACTACACTGCAGAAAGTGAAAATCATGCCAAAATTCTTGAAAGTGCATGGATAAGAATGAAAGATGTTTTAGTGCATGGAGAACTCAGGTTCTTGGTTCCCATATAGCTGCTCTCCACCCACTGAAGAGCGGAAGAGCCCTTCCTAATGGAATTCTACACACAAGGAAACATGAAACCAACATATAATGATCACATATTTTCATTTTCTTGTGGTTGTATGGTGGAGAAAAGTGGCTTGAGCTCTCAGACAGCAGAGAAACATAGGCTCAAAATGGCTTTTGCACCTTTAGCAGCACAGAACACAAAAAGCATAAACCTTTAAAAATCACCAGGAAGGTGATTTTATGATCACATACACACTCCAGGCTCTGCTCCAGAGCTATCATGTCTCATTTACCTCACACAGTTGGTTTGTTTGGGTTTTGGTGGTTGTTTGTTTTTTTAAAAAAAATAAAAATAAAATAATGAAGGGACAGGGAACTCTACTTTCCCAGTTTGTTCAATTCTATCATGAAAGATTAAGGACAAAGAACTTCACTGGTCTTCAAAAATCTAGCATATGCATCCCAGCAGCTAAAGCAAACAAAGCATGTGTGAAGGAGAACCGAGCTGTGGAAGACTGATGCTGTTCCACACCTTGGAACAAAAGTACCTCGTTGCTTTTAGATGCAAAGGGGAAATGCACTAACCCTGTCTGTCCTCCTTTACTTTAAACACCTAGAATAGAGAGGTAATGTTAAATACTGCTAGTAAGACAGCACTGTTTCCTACATGTCCAAATCTAGTGCTGGCATGTAATGTGATATAGTATAATAGTATAGAGGTGGTATATGATGCTTCAAGTTCAAATTTTTACTGGGAAAAGTTGGTGCTCTGTTTTGGCATTCTGGAAAAAGGAAATAAGCATAACTACAAGCAAAGTTTTCTTCCAGTCTTCTTATTACTATTGTATCATGCCAAACTAACCTGGTTGTATCTGTTCACACTAAAAAATTAACATGTGAAATGGCAAGAGTAAAACTAAGAACCAGAGCAAGTAGGTTAAGATGCAGTACGTGTTCATTTCTTATTTTCAAATCCTATTTGAATGAGAGACGCATCAAAAATGAACCTTCAGTAAAAGTATGTGAAAGTCATCCTCAGTGAAAGAAAATATCTGTATCAACTATTTCCCTGACTCTTGAATTTTCCTCGTTGAGTAACTCTTCTCCCAGATTCATACTTTCCTCTTACCAGTTTTGTTCCATTTATTTGGCAAACACTTGCAAGTTTTCCATCATTTTCTGTGGAAGAAAAAACTTATGCCATCTTATATCAAAGGGAACCGTTGCTGAAATCACTAGAAGAGTGTGAGGTTTGCCAGGAAATTTTTGCTCTCTCCCTTTTCCAGAAATCTGCTTCTACATACAAACACTGCAGTATCATTCTTTAAAATACAACTTCAAAACAGTATAACCAATAAAATCCAGTATATTATTGATAAAGATATGGTCCATCACCTCAGTCAGCTTACTTGAATTTAGAATTTGACTTTAGAATTTTACATGAAGATATAAGGAAAAAAACCCAAACCAAACCACTTCAGAAAAGAGAGACAGATCTTATTTACTATTGCATAAAAGCAAAATTAAAATTGAACTTTCCAAGGTTCTTTTAATTCACTTATATGTTCTTATTTTGCTTTCCATTTTAACACTAACTGACAAGCCATATTTACCTGTCCAGTCTTATGTACTTTTATAAAAGACATTGTATCAAATCATCCAAAAGGGAAAGGAAAAACAGAAAGCAAATAAATCCCCAACAAAAATCAAACTCTCTGTCACCTTCTAAGACTGAGAAAGGGTTACTTGAACAGCAGATATGAGAGCACAGAGGCAGCACAGAACTCCTCCACATTACAAGAATTATAGTCCCCTCCTTAAACTGCAATATCCATCCCATTGGTTTGCAAAATTAACAGAAACAGCAACTAATAAATTTATAATTGTCTTTTAAAGGTCTGCACCAGTCAATCAGTTGTACGAAGAAACAGAACATTTGTAAGTTTGACAGCTCCTTATTAAAAATAGAACAGCATTGCTGTCAAAGGAGATTATGAACAGAAACTCTCCATATCCCCTAGCTACAGTCTCTCTCCCAGGACACGTAGCCAACTGAAGACTGCTGGCTGACACAGTGTTTTCTGATCTTCCATTTGCCACGTAATTTCACCCCCAATTTAAATCATGCCCCCAGCACACAGTGCCACTGCCCTAGCAATTAGCCAGTTTGGAAGTCTTAAGATGGTTATTGGTTTATCACCAGTTCAGACTGAAATTAGCAAGCAACATCAGGCACCAGACACTGAATAGCTAAAAGTTCATATGTTCCACATGTACAATAGATACTGAAGTTGAAAATCTGCATAACCACAAAGCAGAATTATCATTAAGGCAATTTTTCATACTTGCCTGTTTACGAGATCTCATTGCTGCCTCTTCTAATGTTTCAGCAGCTTCAAATTTGCCCTGTCGTCTGTAAAGTGCCCCAAGGTTCTTTAAGGTAGTTGTTACTGTTGGGCTATTTAAAAAAAAAAAAAAAAAAAAAAAAAAAAAAAAAAAAAAGTAGCACGTATATATATACACACAGTCTAAACTTTTCTTAATTCACAAACTAATAAAAACTTAATACAGTATTTATCTTTTTTGGTAAATATTTAGTGTCTCTTGAAATATACTGTACTTCAGGTACATGGAAAAAAATGTTAACAGCTTTCAAAGTGCATTAACAGCTCACACTATGATTAGTCAGCAGCTTTGAAAATCAAAGATAGTAACTAACCTCTAGATCTATCTACTCAAGAGAAAACTGGAGTGCTATATCCTTCTGTTTCTCAGATGCATCTTAAGGTGAAAGTTTAGCTCAATCTGAGTGTGTTCAACTGAATAACTGTGAAGCTTCCAGAAAATATGCCTACTCATGCATAGTGACCATTACTGTAGCATGTGGTCACAAAACAAATTAACAATTCCTTTCACCAGCTTTTACTTAACACCTACTAGCAATTTTTATGCATTCAAACTACACCTGAACAATAAAGGAAAAAAAATTCACACATTCCGTTAATGTCTCACACCCCAACAAGACATTTTGTTTCAAGGACACAATGAAAATTAGCTCAGTCACAGTATTGTTGTGTGAAGTTTGCTCCAGTAACAGCAGAGAAAAGATTTCCTTGTGCATTAGAATCAACTAGTACATGAAAAACAAATCAACAGAATGGATTGCACCCAGAGAAGATGGAGAAAAAAGAGCAGATTTCAACAGTACAAAGGTTCTGTTGCTTGTTAAATACATTAATTCAAACACTGAAGAAATTAAAAACCCTCACTGAGCATTATCAGTACCAGGTGCAGGGGTTTTTTCTTACACTGTAACACCTGCACATTAAAAAAAAAAAACAGTAAACAAACAAAATTAAAGCAAAAATATTTCACAAAGCATAAACCAAACTGAAGTCCTTCTCCCATTTTAAAGTACACATTTACATTCACACAAAACTGTATTCTTCAAGCTTTAGAAACAAATAATGCTTAATTGTGGCAATTTAACTTTGTTTCCTTTTGCCAGCTAGAAAACTCAGGGCTCAGTTATTTGTACAGTCTCCTTTTTGCTTCTGGCCTTCTCCCAAAGTCTTGCTAGGTCAGGGAGAGCACATATGTCAACCAACGGTATAAAAAGAAAGAAAGATGACCTATGTTTACACGTGAAGGGCTGCCACAAACACAACTGGTGAATTTTTATGTCACTTATTAGACCTAACCAGCCTAGATTAAAAAGCAGCCTCGGGACTTTAAACTGCTACCATGTTCCTGAAACTCATTCTTGAGGCATGAACTTTTAACACTGTAGTTTACACAGTCCTAAACAAGCAGCTGGTTTGGTTTCCTTTTTAAACATGCTTTAATTTGAGATTTCTGGATACTTGGGTATTGCCTCATTGTTTGTCCTGTAAAGAAATTACCCACCTGTCAACTTTGCAAGCCTTGTACCAGCCCCCATATTCTCCAAAAGATGTGCCATCTTTTTGCTTTCCCTAAAACAAAAGTAACATTGAAGAAAGTTAACTGACTTGTAACAAGTAAGTAAAAGTTCCAAAAAAGTTTTATGTCAACGGCCTTACTTTGCATTCTTCCCTCTCTTCTGCATGCATCCAAATAGGCTTATTTTCATCTGATGAAACAGAAGAAAGTATTTTATAGAAGCACAAAACTACAAAATACACAGTTTGATTTCCACCCTTCTGAAATGAAGTTGTGAACCAAGGAATTATATTGTTACCACCACAAAAAAGCTTACTCTCCATACTACAAGCAGCAGACAAATAAAACATGCACCCCTTCCCTTTAGAGAAACAGTCACTTCTGAGAAGCTCTGAAGTCAGTATATGCTGAAATCGATTTGTCACGTGGCTAGTTTTGTGTTAAAAACCACACATTCATTTCTTTTATTGTAACAAGTGTTTTGACATCTAAGTGGAGCATATACTACTGTCATGGAATGCAATAAAAATTCTTCACTGTGATTTACAGTCGATAAAATGCATTTGACTTCAATGTACAGTGTAATTCACAATTTAAAGGTATTTTCCCCATTCTTTAAATGTATTAATGGAGGATTCACATTAACAATGTATTTATTATAGCATTAAAAATCCTGCACTGACTGGAAAGTGACATACATTTTTCTGCCCCTATAAAAGTATCAAAATTGGGTTTGGTTGAACATAAAGTAAATTATGCCAGAAATACAATTCATAAAACATAAACCTAACAAAGTCTATCTCATGTAAGAAAAACTTATTTTGAATCAAACACTACTGCGGCATCTAAATGCCTTCTTAGGATGAATGTGCTTCAACACATTCTCTAACCTCACTTTTTAAAAAGTCTGCTTCAAGCAGAAAATTTTAATCAGGATACAATTAACTTCTTGCAGATTTTATTTCATAACTGCAAAAGTGAAACATACATTAAAATCTAGGGTCTCAGTTTCTTACCATCTACAGAGCCAAATTCCCGTTCATGAGCACGAGTAAGAATCTCTTTGTATAAAGTTTCCGCTTGCTTAAATTTGCCCTGTTTTAGATAGCAGGAAGCCTAAAAACAAAACACCCCCCAAAAGGTATCAGCACATTGTTTTATTTAGCTTGATAAATAATAAATACAATACATGCTGAACAGAGGTGCATTTCAATTGATCAGAAAATTTTACTTCCTTAGACTTACTTTAAAAAAGACTTACCAGGTTATTCTTTGTTTTCGCAACATTTGGATCATCTGGTCCCAGCTTAGTTTGGTAAATTTCCAGTGCCCTCTGATAGTAGTATTCAACCTCCTCATATTTGCCCTGGTTCTGGCATAGTAAAGCCAAGTTATTTAATTGTTTGGCAACATCAGGGTGATCCTTCCCCAGGACCTGAAAATTAAATACCTTGTATTAAAACATTCTCCAGCCATCATATCAGGGTTTAGAAATGCATCACTTAGAAATATCCCATTAGCTCTTACTCGTCATCAATTCAACACAAGGACCACAAAGGCAAAATCTGTATTTGAAAGATATGAAAATTATTCAATTCTATTACAAACTGAGAATGCTGCGTAACAATTCACAACAGGAATAACGTGAATAGTATAAAAACAGTATAGGCAGCATATTATACAAAGCCTGAAGATGCAGGCACTTTCTCATGGACTAGAATAAATATCCACATAGTCATGGATTAACCAGCTTTAAAATTTTAATGATGTTTCATTTTTATTCCAATTCTCTTGTCAAATCAAAGATTACTTAACTGTCGAAGGGGAAAGAAAAAGGTAAAGAAGGTTAATTATAAAATACATAATTTAGAATATATCCAGAGTGCTCCAACAGCTTTGTAAGACTACTGGAATTTACTACTGTTTTGAATTTCAGACACTGCTAACTACTAGGGCACTGCTAACTGTGGTTTATCTGGCAGATCTAGCCCATCAAAACATAAAAAAAGTGGAAGTGTTTAACTTTGCCCCCTCCCTCAAAAAAACTCATTGAAAGATGCTGTATTTTTTTTACTCATACCTTTTCTCTGATTTCCAGAGCCCGCTTGCACAACGGTTCAGCTTCTTTGTACTTTCCCCGTTTACCATAAAGTACTGCAAGATTGTTTAGAGTTGCTGCCACCTGTCAACAGTAGAGAAATACTAATTACATTGGAATTTGCCAGTGCAAATATCTGACAAATGAACACATCTACAATGCACTGATGTTTTCAAATTTTCCATGCACATGGTAAACATTTTGGAATTTGGAAATGAAGAAATTATTACTGAATGCATACATACACAAATGAGGAAAGAAAAAAACCAAAATCATGAAATACTTTTGCTTCATTTGTGGAAATGTTACTTAGTGCATCCATTTTTCTTTGTATGTTATTCTCTTATAAAGTTACCTGCTGACATCTATACTCAGAGCTGCACTGCTCCAAACAGGCAACATGAAGTGAGATATCACATTAATTTTAAACACTAAGTCCAAAAGCTTGATTTACATTTCATTTAAAAGCAGCAGTAGACCAAATCAGAAGTGCCCCTTCAATAAGTTTAATAAAGTGATTTGAGTAAGCAAATTAAAATCTTTCTTCACAGATTAATTTCCCACAGAAAATCCATGCAATCCAAAATCAAGTATGTGCAAGTCATTTGTGGTGAAACAGCACTGAATATAATGCTCAAAAGGAACATTAAATATTTAAGAGAAAATGAAGAATGTTACATCACACCCTCCTACCTGTACTGTTTAGAGATAAGCCAGGTCTTAAAAACATTCCTGTTGAGTTTAATATTAGAAATAGTTGAAAAAACTTCAGTGAAAGACAAATAAAAATATGATATTGCATGTATACAAACCGCTGGATGATCTTTGCCCAAAGTCTTTTCGCGGATAGCCAAGGCATCATTCAGGAGATTTGCTGCATCTTTGTATTTGTTCTGGTCTCTAAATTTTAAAGAGCCATAATTAATACTTGAGATTCAGAAAAGAAAGTAATAAAAATGAAGCTGACTTCAGTACTAGCCTAAAGATGCTTGTACAAAAGAAGAGAAATTGAGAATATATTCAGAAAAGAAGAAGGAAAAACCTGAAGCCTGTAACTGTAGTTTGCTGGTTGAGGACTAGCATGTACTACTTCTACAATTCTGTCCAATTTATACCTCCAGATTATCTGTAAGCGGGTAATCAAGACAAAAAAAAAAAAAAAAAAAAAAAAAAAATCAAAGCCGGCTCCCAAAGCAAAGGCACAGGCAAAAATGCAGTAGCTTGTTTGACATTTAAGAATAGGGAGACATAAATATTGCAGGACCCTCTTGAGGGTTTTAATAAAATGCAGTGAATGAAAATTGAAATAGTCAAAAACTGTTAATCTGAATATTAACAAGTTGTAGGTAAACGATAACTATTTAACTGGTATTTATCTATGTCAATATACAAACCTGTACACCAAAGCAAGTATGTTCAACATAGTGGCAACATCAGGATGATCATGACCTGAAGTCTTCTCCAGATCTTCAAGAGCTTGTTTACAGAGAGGTACAGCAACCTCGTATCTACCTTGGGAAGCATACTGAATAACAAGATTATGAAGGGTCCTTAATCTTGCCGGAATTTCATAGCCACCTTGCTGGGCAGCAGCTGCTGCACTGCTATGCTGCTGTTGAACTGAAAGAAATCGGGAAGATTTCAAGTTGCTTAAAAACTAAACCATCTAACATTACTGCAGAATGACACAAAATGAGACTCACTGAATTTTACTTAACACAAAGCATTAGTATTAGAACATACTTCATAGCAGTTACACTGTCTTGAATAGGGACAGTGAAAGTATGACCATGTTATTCTTCATATTCCATCTGGTATTGTATTATTTTACACTTCAATTACTCAAAGGGCCAAGTGTAATAAATCAATGAATAAAGTAGGAAACTTACAGCTCAGCAAACCATTAAGAATTCTCAAGATTATATAATAATTTTGCACTTACAAATATTGGTATTTCCCTAGAGAAAATATTAACAAGTCAGCTGCAGAAAAGCTCAAATGGTTTGTCCTTTTTCCTTTGTTCTTCTTCTCTAAACATACAAATTTTTTTTGTTTCCCTTTGTTTGCTATACCAAGGAGTGCTTAAGGTTGGCACGAAGGATTAAAACACCCTGGATGCCACAAACAACAGTTCCAAAAGGAAAGGCACCAAGCCAAAGCCAGTGTCAACCTTTAGGTTTTACTTACTAACCCTCAGGCTTAGCCACCTATTTCCCAGTAGCTCCTAAGCTCTGGTTGTTACAACCCACACCATCCCATTCCCCCCAGAAATCTACTACCTCTTTTCACCTGGAAGATTTCTGGCAAAATTGAGAAAATTCCCTCTTACTCATTTTCATTAAATTCTAGACACCACACAGCATAAGGGCTCCAGCCGTGAGACTGACCTTCTTCTCTCCTTTCTATTAAGCTAAAAACACTCTCACAGCAAGTGGGAGCCTTTTTATGTCAGTGGAATCCTACAATTTCAAGCCTACACCCACAATCACTGCCTACCAAAGCGCTGAAACATTACAGTATTTTTCCTGGAGGTCAAGGAAATTGCCGACATGTCAACTTTGTCTTTTGTGAAGCAAAATAAGATAGATGGACTATGCAGGTATATAGGCAGCTTTGTCATTCAACTTTCCTATTACAAAATTCTAGAGAAGCAAGGATGAGCTCAGGAGGGAGCTCATGATCAACACTAAACTATTCTAAACTCTTCAAGTCTTCCTTCCATTGCTGGCTATGGATAGCACTACCACGCTATAAAGTACTTGTATATATGCCCATAAAGGAAATTCAAAACTCTGCTGATCAGAGGTGCAAGCCTTCAGATATTTCTTCTGAAGTCATCTGTCTACTAAAAACCATTATAATACTAGCACACTACATATACACTACAGTATCAATGTATTATATAGTATCAGCTTTACATCCATACAGAAAACAGAACATTTCACTAAGCAAAGCTTATCTATTAATGGCTTCTTTGAATCATGCTACCAAACTCCTACCCTCAAACTTCATTGCATATTCATCAGTGCTTCTGATCTGAAGACAATACTTCTAGAATGAGTACTAAAACTAAGGAAAACAACCTTAGCGAAGGGGAAAAGATTATATATGAGAAAGACTTCATACTAAAACCTGTCCCAGACTGCTAAATCAAACCATTTAAAAAGGTCATTAACAGAATTCACCATCAGGACAAACCATCAAAAAGCTTCAATGTTTCAGAATCTGCCTCAGTCACTTGGAACAAATCTCCTCCATTCTGAGACCCACAGGAAAGACTGTGGGACAAATTCTGAAGTCAGTTCCAAGAACTTTACAACAGCTAGTAAACTCTCTTTAAAAACCTAGGCCCCAGTTCTGTATGTATCAATGGAATGTGTATCAATGACAGGTTTCCTTATTCTAGCAGAGGTATTCACCACTCCCACTGTGTCCCAGAGGACCCCAAGCGTGGATTCGTTTTTATAAAGAGCATCTTTATATTCTGCATTGCAAAACTACACTAACGTCGTAATCTAAAGTGCACTTACTTCCTTGTCCTTGGTCATCTTCATCATTGGGAAATAAGTCATCCAAAGGCTCTTTGGTGGAATCTGTATCCTTATCCTCCTATAGAACAACCCCAAACCCAAACAAATTGTTACACTTAAATCTAAAGGCATAAAGGGAAAGCCCATTTAATCAGCACCCAGAATTTAGGAATTAACAACAATAACATTTCTCACAGAAGTTTTATGAAGGTCTGATGTTCAAATGTATTTACATACTTTGTCCCAAAACAATACAGGACACCTTCAGAAGAGCCAGGAATAGAAATCAGGTCTCCTAGATTTCAGTCTCAATTTAAGCACACAAGAAGGCATTTGCTATTCTTGCAGAGACCTAATGAAAGTACCCACTGAGGAGTGAGTGCTACTGAATACAGAATTGTCCACTGTACTTTTCTAGTTATAATGCAGTTACAGATGGTCAAGGAGAAGAATAAGGAGACCTCCATTTCTGAGTACTCAACTTCTCCACAAAATAAATTTTGCAACTGTGACCTGTAAGGTTCAAAAAGAAATACACACTTGCAGGGAAGCTAGTCTCCAATAGTCTCCATCTGGAACCATATTAATTTCTGCACAATCCATCAGTGTATATTGCATTCCAAATTCCACAATCATGTAAAATAAAGAAACAGATCATTCTTCAGTCCAGTTTAAGTGTGAAGTCTACACAACATAAATAGTTGAAGTTCTCAGAAATGTTAATCTCAGTAAGGAGAAAACCCAGGAGCAGAACACAGTCCTGTTTTTCTGGCTCTCCATCCAACACCTTTTTTCACAGATAAGAAAAAGACACTTGCTGCTGCTGGCATTCAAATTCAATGGTGACAAAATGGGTGCTCAGCAGATTGATGGGACTAGATCTGGGGAAGATTTCAACCTCCTATTGAGTATATATAATTGATTGTTTCCAAGGCTAACAACAGAAACCATCCATATGGTTAGTGAAACTATAAAGTTGCTTTGCCTACTTTGACCCTACTTGCCAATATAGCTTCAAATAACAGTGCTATTTAGGCCATCTGCAGATTACAGTTCAACAGTTCACACATCAAAATCCCAGTATTTCCTTCTCCTGTCCCTTTTCTAAACAGGATTCAGTGGCAGTATTCTGCTACAAATACCAACTCATGAAATAGCACTGAAAAGTTCACACTTTTCACAAACTGACCGAAACAACTCACAATATGATAAAAAGGATTTAGTCAAGCAGGCGGTTAAGCATGACTAAAACACATATATTTTCAACCATTATGTTACTGAAATAATTGTTTCTGATAAACTGTTCTTTCCAAGACATGGGTGAGAAGGTCTGATAGCACAAAATGAGCTCTTCCTCTATGGTGCCATCTAACTTAAGGAAACAAAATAAAAGGGTAACAAGGAGGACAAATAATTCAGATGTCTTTTTAAGTGGTAAATTACTTCCATAAATTAAAATTGTATCCATTTTCTCTCTAAATCTAAGAATATTTAACACAATAGGCTAGCTAAACACAACTGAAAACATGCAGATGATCACAGTGTCTGGCAGAAAGTCCTGAAAGGGGATTCAATAGCATCCTATCTTAGTGTAAATTCTCAGATAGAAAAGCTACACAGTGATTTCACTAGAGAAAGACTAAGTATGTAAGTAAAACTAAATATATAAGAAAAGCTATGAAATTTTTTGTTTAGTTGCATTCTTAATATTTTTTTAAGCTAATATGGTACTAAATAAGGATTTATGTATTTTAAGCCTCATAAATTTTATTATCTACAGACAGTAATAAAGATAAAATAGATAAAATAAGAATGAACTGAACTCTCAGAATCTTTCTGCAAACTATGTGACACTGGTACAAGGTAAGCATTTAATGACAAATTTATGTTTATGTTAGAGACAAATAAAAAGCTCTATCTGTCATTTCTTGGTTACTATGCAGGTTACAACATATATGTATATGTAAGGTGCTTTTACTATGCAGCTACTTACTGATGGTGAAATATCATCATCATATTTTTTTAGTTGATTCATGAATTCTAGATGTTTCTTTTCTTCCTCCAGCTGAGCCACAGATTGCTCACTTTTCTGTAGTTTCTGTTGTGTATTGGCTAGTTCATCCCGTAGCCACTGATTTTCCTGGCATAGCCGGCGAACCTGAGCACGCAATTTCTGCTTCTCTGATTCCACTGCATTTAAGTGATTTGACAAGGCCATCATTACCTAAAAAGCAGGAGGTGTCACATGATATACTTCCTCTAGAATGTAGTCCTGTATTTAATAAAAAAGCCTTTTACTATTTAAAACCTATGTCAGCTGTGAAATCTGGTAACCATTCAGATTTCCCTTCTTTACATATCTGGTTCTCACTTTTCCTCAAACTTTTTTACCATTTGTTCAGCCAGAATTAACCTAGAGGAACTCTTTACTAATTATTGTTTTCCATGATGCTATCAGAAGTCAAATTATTTTAGAATGCCCTGAAGATTACATATAATCTTAAAATATAAGAAAAACTTGAACTAGGATTTAGATTAGTGAAATGGAAAACTTTGTTCCACTAACATGAAAAGGAACAGTAATACTTTTAACTTGAAGGACCACAAAAAAACCTGAAGGACTAAGAGTTCTAATTTAGCAGCTTTCAGACAGAAAGAATTCATATACATGCTTACAGTTCATAAAATGAAAACCTCAGCATAACAGTAATACTTCAAAGGGACAATTATACTACTGAGATCTAAATGTGCAACTGAACACATAATTTATATAAGCACTTTATATATATATGTATCATAAACTTGAGTGTGCAGACATTCAATGTGCTTGAACAGTCATATTAAGGACAAAAAAATAGCAGCCATAACAGCAGTCTACTTGGATTGGATTTCTGCTAATCAAAGTTAAATGAGAAAGGAGTTCATTAAGTGAAAGCCAAACATTATGCACAGAAGATACTCTCCCTTCACTGCTTATGTAATCTCCCACTGATACACATAGAACAGCTGATAGCAATCCCAGGAAGCACACCTTGTAAGGATGGGCCACTGGTCATAATACAAATCTTCTTTCAGATGAGTTTTGACATTCCCAAGCTATTAGTATTTCATCTCCTCAATTTCATGTTTCTTTAAAACAAAATTACTTTAAAGTGTTTTTAAATTAAATATTTAATGTGAAACAGATGGTGACCTTAGCTGAATTTTCATGTTTCAAAAAGATATATCAAGCCTGTAGAAACTACTTTTTCCTACAAAGGTAAGAAATACTCCAGGTATAATTTCCCAATACCAGTCTAAATCTTCAGATTTCAGCACCTATCTACTCACATACTCAAAACTGTTAATAATTTAAATTACTTGGCCTATTCAAACTGTGGCATTTGTAACATCAGAAAGCACATTTAGGAAAGTTGTGATAATAGGATTAACATAATCAAACAACATTGTACTGGCTACAATAGCAAAACTAAATCTTTTGTAATCTTACCTCTTTAGAATTAACTGCAAGAAAAGTTTTATTACTTCTTCAGTTTCATTTTCATTGAAATAACACTTATGTCATCAGACCTACATCCATATCACAAAAACATATTTTATAAATATTTCCATATCTTAACTTAAATGCTGCAAATCATAAGAATTACTACACTGCTGCAACCCAAAGCATGCAGGAAGAGTTGGCTTATCAAGTCTAAGAGTAGTAGTTCGAAGTGTCATTGCTTTCCTGACAAAGGCAGTAAATGCAGGCTTCTTGGCTCATTGCCACCAGAGTTCACAAAACACCGTGCAGGGTAAACAAGGCAGTAACATCTGCAACTGAGGCCGCTGACTCCAACAGAGCCAACAATCAGGAATAGCTTCTTGGAGTCCCAATATCGTGTCAAAGTCAGAATATAGAAGTTACACATTCACCCACAGATCTCCTACAAACACCCATTAACAGTAACTCAACTTAGCAATTTTATTCCGTGTCTTTTAATATTTTCTTCTGATACAAACGAGCAAGCTTGTACAATATACTAAGGCCTGACAATCAGTACTATAACGTCCAGGGGTTCTACAGTCCCATGTCTGGTAATCCGTATTTGTTCGTTCTCTCAGGCCTCAATTCACCATGATCCAATGCACAAAACTTCCAGATCAGATCAGAAGACTGAGCACATTTACAGACCAGTACAGAGACTATTAATATAGAGCTAACTCATTGGCATTTTCAAATCATTTGCAAACATCTGCTATTTTATACCAATGACTGTGTCACAGTACATCGTTTCTGGTTTTTGATGTAGTACAAAAAAGCCTAAAGTTGGACTGTTAAATATAGTCCTGATATCCTGACTAAACATGCATCTTTTCACTCACCTTCTGCAGACAATATCTTCATCAACTAAAATAGTTCACAGAAATTAGGTGAGTCCTTTTTTTAACGCATCAGTGAAAGTTGTTCAGGTTCTGTACTCCATTCTCAATGTTTAAAATATTTAGTAAATGTACAATAAAGATTAGAGATTCTTAAGCTTCAGGAGCATTGTGAGCTACTATAAAGAATCTCAGAATCACGGGAATATAAACATGAATTTAAGGTTATGGCAGAGCTCAGAGGCTGGAGCAAATTTGGGGCATGGGGTGGAGAGGGAGAGACACCTCCCTATGCAATAATTAAGAGCTAAAATGCCAATGTTGAGTTCTTGAGCAGCTCAAACATTACCCGCCTAATGCCATGGAAAAGTCTAAATAGAAAATAGCAACTGTCTCACTGAAGCTCGGTTATGAGCTTCAGTGCTTTAATACTGAATGCATAATGAGTTCTGTAACACAGCAAGACAGACAGTATCTACCTCTATTAATTACAGCAATGTTTCTCCTTAACATACAATAACGTAAACATCCCAGCACATTACAAATATTCAATAGGGCAAAGTTAAGTCCTCAAAGTCTGCTTTATTTCTACTACAATTTTACCTGTGCTTCACTAAGGCCAAGCTCCAGCATTTCCAGTGACTTTCGAATCATGTTTGATTTTTCTTCAACCAGATTAGTTTCATCATCTTTCTTCAAACACTTCAGTGTTTCAAGTAAGCTCTGTAAAATTGAATTGTGTTCATTCTTCAGTGCCTCTAGTCCATTAATCACTTGCTTAGTTTTGGCAATGATCTCATCTTGAGTAAGCTTCTCCAACTTCTCTTCCTTTAAATACACCATTGTGGACATGTTTTCATACATTCTGAAATGGAAAAGTACACTAGTTAATCCAAAAGTAAAATTAAAATAAGCAATTCTCTATAACTGAATAATGCTTTCCTTTAAGAAGTCATTAAAACATACGAATTTGAAATGTATATTCAGAATGCACAACTTTTACAATGTTTTACAATTGAGTCCCAGCTTTGAACAGTGTTTCAAGTTTTCCAGTTTCTATTTCTGGATTTACACTAATTCATAAGCCAAACAACAACAGAAAATAGAATATATACTACAACAGGGCAGAATAATTTCTCACAAGCAGTGAAGAATAGGACTGCATCTCCAGGATTCTGGTTTGTGCAAAAGCAAAGAAGCCTGTGTATAAAAGACCTACTCTAATAAATATATCTATCTGCAGATGCCACTGATCTACAACTATCTCTACAAATATCCACAAGTAGAACTGGAAGAATTTGAAGAAATACATTCAACCCTCTAAAAGGGTTGATCAATCAGTCAATCATGAGAAAAATCACCCTCTTCTAGTAAGAAGGAAACACCATCCTTTTCCAAAGACTACAAAAGCCATTATCACTACTTATTTTGAAAATAACAACTACTCCCTAAGATTACATTCATTATTGCAACTCTGCAGTTACATAACAGATATTCAACTGCCTACAGGTCTACATGCAGATGTTTTGAGGAAGCTGCAACAGCTGTATCCTACTAGAAAAAAAGGTTTGTAGAACACAGCCCTTGGAAGAAACATTTCACAGTGTTATTCTGTCAGTATCTCATACACTACACTACATTAAGGCTAGCAAATTTCTGGATATTTGTAAACACCTCTACCAAATCCAAATGAAGATCAAAAAAAGTTTAGAAACTCAGGTAACTTTACCACCACACATGCCGTTACTGAAGTGACAAACAAGTTTATTTAAAAATACAAATAAGACACAGAAATCATTTGATCCTTTTTTAAATTTTTTAAATGTCACCAGACTAATCTTTTGTAACAAAAATAAAGAATTGAAGAATTGTTCTTTTATACTTTATATTTATACCTTTATACCAGAAAGTATAAACCAGAATAAAGTCAGAGAGATTTTTCAAAAGCAATAAATTATCATTTCTGTATGAAGACACTTGGGGAAGCTTTGATAAACTAATATTTAAAATTAATTAGCTAATCTCTATTACAACTTTATACAGAAGCAAGTCCAGTTTTAGAAGAAAGCCAAAAAAATTACAGCCACTTAAATCTTGAATAAAAGTGCTATAAGGAACATACATATATGCACCACTTCATGACAAGAGCCAAAGAATGTGCTCTTATACTCTTGTAAGACATTAAAAAAAAAAAGTGGTTACACTCAAGTTACCCTGCTATGATCTCCTCCAATGCAATACCTAAAAGGCATAACCATTTGTCACAAAAAGAGGTGTGCACTACACTATTGTCTGAAAAAACAGATAATTTGGGGAAGCAATGAGTTTGGTTTTACCAGAGTTTAATACAAGAACTTCATGTTCACAGATATATGTGATACAGAGTGTATATATCTGTATAAAACATATAATCTTGTGTGGCATAAGAAAGCCTGATGAGCAGAAGGAGATTTACACATTTTCCATTTATAACCTGAGAACTACTACCCAGAATGCTTAAATGACATTTTTAAAGCACACACTCTCTAAAATCGTGTATAAAATTGAACTGCAATTTAATGTGAGCCAAATTTGTAAATATATGCTTCTAACATGCAGAATCATATAAGAAATCGTTATGGATTATGCTAACCAGCATACAACTCAACCCTAATTACCATCAGCATGCCTTCATGCCTTCAATTAACAATTTCCATCCTGAATGCAAAGAACTCAAACTTTGAACATAAAGAAATAAAAACAGCAGAGGACTTCTAATGAATAGGGATTTCCATTATGTATTATAAAAGTTCTGAGAAATATGATTTTTAAATACCTAGGGTTTTCTTACAATCCAGTATAAGTATGTGATGATTTGTCTGTCTTATGTAACTAGGGGTAGCAATTCCTTCTGTGTGCTTCAGTGTTCTGTAGCCATTCTACACCAAAGATGGAAGGCAGGTGTGCGCATGTATGTATGTAATGCATACACAGATACTGTTTTTTAAAAATTGCACATTTTAACCACCACAACAGAAGTTAAATGAATTCTAGGTGATGAATACAGATAAATGAACAGCCTTTCACTGTTAAAAAAAGAATACACAAAACCAAGAAAGTAATACCAAAAGCGACATTAAGCCTTGTAGTGGTTATGATATCATGCAAAAAAGAATAAAGGGAAGTACCTATCTGACATAAGAAATCCAGCCAAAAGACACATCTGTGTGCACAATTACATCTAAGGTGTGAAATGGACATTGATTTGTTATCATAAGGAAAAAAGGCTGTCAGATCATAGATATAATCCAGCATATAGCTCTGGCTAAAGATTAGCATGGGTCCTAAAGACAAATAAATAAAAAAAACAGTTCTAATTTTTTATTTTTATTTCCTTATGTATCCCTAAGAATTCTCTTTCTCAGTATTGACATTTTCATTTTTTAATAGCCAGGTTTCAAATACTAAAAGCTGGAAAGATAGATTTTTAATGTATCTAGTATCTGATCATTATTGTTTTAAAGTATAATTTAAAATACAATTAAAATCCCACACCAAAATCTGTGAACTGCTGTGACAAATCGTTTTCCCTAAACTTCTTCCTCTGAATATGCAGGCAGGATAGCTGAAAACTACCAAATAATGTGTCTGCATACAAGAAAGTAAATCATCTTCGTAAGAGTAAAAGCTACTACAAGCCTGGTTCAACCCATACCTACAGGCCCTGACATCTACAAGCACTGCAAATTCCACAAAGATACAGTATACACTAATTTGAGCTTTCTGTATCTCCAATATGTACCTATCAGTTCACTGTTTTGTGACAATAATCAGTCTATTCAGGGCTTTTAACACTAATTCCACTCTTAGTTCCTCCTTAATTAAACGGCAAGGCTCAAGTTCTGCATCTGGCAGGTGCTTGTTTCATTTTGTATTAGCTGCTAATTACAAGTAATTAATTCCCTGCTCAGACCAAGAACACATCTCATTACATCATGAAATGCACCATCTTGAAATACTATGAGCTGCTTTAACTGCTAATCTTCAAAATGTGGAAAACTGCCTCAAAAACAATCCTCAGAAGATCACAGGCCTTCCAAGCACAAGAAGAAAATCACCAACAAAGGCAAGAGATGAAAAACAGTCTGCTGAGGGACACGAGTAGTAAGTCAAACACTGCATTAACTGCACCCCTTCCTAACAAGGCAGCCCAGCAACACACACTAGGCAGAAACGGCAAGGATGAATCACCCATGGATGTTTTTCGTATACTTAGAAAGGTGCTTGTAGAAGGACTTGGATAAGGCACAGTCTAGTTTGAATATACTGCTGTTAGGGTTTAAACAGAAATCTCAAAATCTGAAAGAACATCAGTTACTTTGTTTTTAATCTGTTCATTTCTCTTTTTCTGTGAGACTATTTCTGCTATCACGTCATATTCCCATGCATAAGGAAATTCATAATCTCTTCGTGTTTGACTTTCCTTCCTTTTAACTAAGACAAACCATTACGCTCAGGAATTTTATTCCAATACATTCATCTCTAACCTCACAAAAGATAAATATGTCCTCTTGACATGTTCAGGACTGTAGCTGAACTGCCAATGCTATCATTCTTTTCATCATACTATATATTAGAATCCACACATGAGCCTCTACAGAATAGAAAATCTTGAACTGCACCTGTAAACGGTGTCCTGTTGGAGGTCAGACTTAAGGTACGCTCGCTGACCCAGTTCTATAAACAGAATACTGCGGCGCTTCTGTGCTGCCTCAGGTTTCCAAATACGTGATCTCAGAAAGCCTCTTCACAATTTAGCACACATGTACATAAGCTACCTTAAAAATAATGCAGTAAAAGCAATTAGTGGCACATAACAGAGGCTGTAAAAGCAGATAGGAAGATGGAGCTGCAGGTGACTAGCAACCAACATTAAGGTATGGAGAAGTCTTTTAAAACACACGTGTTTGAAAAAAAGAATTAACCCCTTGGAGTCACTTTTTCTATCAACTTGCAGCCAGTAAGCATCTGAATTTAAAAAAACCTTACTGTGCTCCTTCTGCCAGCCTTCAACTCAGAGGTAACCCTGAATGCAGGTCTGCCCTAACACTTGGTTTAAAATGAAGGTATGCAAGGTAAATACTATTAAAAGGACATTTGTAGTCTAACGTCAAGGGCACATAGCCTAATAAAAGCTCAGAATCACGCTGGTAATTTGACCTACAATCTTAACACCACAAGGCATCCGTGTTGGTAAGCGAACGGGACAAACACTGATCGTTTGTAAAGGTTTGGCATTTATACAGGTAAAGCCACAAATTTTTGAAGAAATGCACAATAAGCATAGCACTGCTTGACCAAAAAGTGTAAAACATCAAAAAACGTGACTACTGGCAGAGACATTTCACCAGACTAACATGGCTGTTGCTTTTCTATAAAGACTGCCAGGTGCACCCCGCACATCAGTGGGAAGAGGCTGCACGGCCACACGCTCTCCCCCTACATCACAATAGCACCCACCTCTGAAAACCACTGCATCACAGACTCTAGGAAACCCCAATGGCTATCAGTAAGTCTATGTTTAAGTGAATAATATCAATGGCTATCAATAAACTATGTTCAAGTGAAGAGGATTATGTACTTGTTTAGCTGAAAAATATAGCCACTGTACATTTGCCTTGATAAATCTTGGGGTTTTTTAACATCACAGTCTGCTATAAAAAAAAAAGAGAATCATACATTTCAGGGGAAATCTTTGGAAGATTAAAAGATTACTAAGAAGAAAAGCAAGCTAACAAATTATATTTGCTAACAAAAGAGATGATAGCAAAAATAGCTCCTATAAAACCTGTAGCAAGTGTAATCTTGACAATTGTCTTTGAGAAA